TTTTTTTTCTAAGGGCATTTCCATTTTCTATGACTTCCTTCAGAGCAAAGATGGATGTGGCGACATTTATAAGGGTTTGTAACCCTCCGAAAAGTATCCGATTTCACGACAACTTTGCTGCACTTTATCACTAAAGCGGGGAAAGGGCGGGAGGTGGCGGGAGGGGTGGGAGGGGGAGAGGGAGCGAGCGCGGCGAGAGGGACCCAAATTCAGGATGGGCTCATAAAATTTAAATAAGAAAAGTGCAATATTCCTCGTTATTGTCCAGCTCAGACAGCTCTGACTGGTAGCTGCTTTGAGTACTAAATGATTTTATAGGGCTATTTGACCTCAGAATCATTGATGTTACACTTGCCATTTCTAAGGGGAGACAAAAATACTCAACACATCCTCTAGCTGCAGTGTGAGTCCCAGCCCTAGCTGAGTGTCGAGGGGTTGGGAACTTTATAAACTCATTTGATTCATTTGAGGTTTCACAATAGCCAAAAGTTCCTTTATAGCTTTTTGGAAACCACATGCTAGCGTTGCATCTAAAGGGCTACGAGTGAAGTACACTAAAAAGCTAATAAAACTAAGGAAATCGTAGAGGGACCTTAGATATGCATTTCTTTGCAGCCACACACCAGACCCATACACTTCTTTTCATACATACAAACAAGCTACTTTCAAACGCTCTACTTACAGTTTTCCAACCTGAAAATTAGATAAAAAACCCACCGGGCGAGCTGGCTCTTCTATCTGCATCTCAATCCGCGCACACAGAAAGACAGAAACCACCCAGGGGCACTGCCATTTCCCTATGCAAAAGTTTACATAACTTTCTTTCCCTGCGAGCACACACACACTTTTTTTTTTTTTTTTCCAGCCGGTTCGCAGAGAGCTCCGGGATCTCCCCCCCGAACGCAGAGGCTGGTGAAGGCAGCCGGGCGTGTTTGCACATGCACTGCCCTCCGTGTGTCTGAGCTGCAGGGCACACGCGGTGCACAAACACACACAAACACACACACAAACACACACACACACACCCGGCACACACGCACGCCTTCCCCTGGCTGCTCCGCCGGCTGCCGGCGCGGAGCAGGCGAACAGGGATGCTGCTGCTGCAGCCACGGGCACGACCCAACTACCTACCTGCAATGACAGCCGGAGATCTCTGTCCTCCTTCGGCTTTCAGCCACACTTGCAAAGTGAAGGCATCTCGGGGCAGCTCAGTATCTGCCTTCAGCCGCAGCTGATCACCTTGGCCACTGAAATAGAGCGCCCTGCTCGGGGTAAGGGACTCCTCTTCGTCCTTTACCTCCCGCTGTTGCCTCCTGCGGGGGACATGCCCAGGCTCCAGCCCAGCAGTGGAGCGCCTTCCTCGGGCTAACCTGGTGGCACAGGTGCCCGGGGCAGTGTGGAGGAGCTGGCGGCTGTGCCTGGTGTCCCTTCGTGCCCTGCGGGAGCGCTCGTCCATCCCACATTCGGGTCCACTGGCTAGGGCTGTACAGAGAAGCGCAAGAGGCAGCAGCAAACTCCAGAGCTGCATTTCCAATCTTCCCCCCCCTTTCTCCCCTGCAAATCCTCCCGATCTGCCAGCTTTGGGCTCCTCCTTGCCTTGACTTTCTTCTCTTGTTCACCCTTCTTGGTATTTGCTCTTTTTATAACCCTTCTCAGTTGCTTTTTCTTTTCTTTTTTTCTTTTTCTTTCTTTCTTTTTCCTGCTTATAGATTTTTTTGCTCCTTAAAACAAATAAAAATCAAATAAATCAAAACTCCTTCTTGGTTGAAATGTATTTCTCTGTTCTTCCTCCTCTATCTGTCTTCTTCTCCTCTATTCCTCCACAGCTGGAATTCCTCTCTCTCTTCTTTTCTCTGCTGGATTTTCTTCCCTTTATTTTTTTCTTCTTAAAAAAAACACACACACACACTCACACACACACAAAACAAAACAAAAAACCAAAACAACCCCCCCAGCTTTCTCCAAGACTCAGACCCACTGATTTCCCTCCCCCCAAAAGATGCTCTAATCTATTTATTTTTTTGGCCTCCTTTATAACATAAGCCACAACCCCCTCCTTCCCCCCAACCTCCCCCCCTCCCTTCTTCTCCACAAAATGAAAGAAAAGAGAAAAAGCCCCTCAGAAGATGAGTAAACAAGAATATGCTAATCTACTCTAGGGTGCTCCACCTTCCCAATTGAATGATTCCCATTAAAACTGCAGGGATCATGACTAATCAATCAGCTTGAAGGAGCAGATAGCTCCAGAGGTTCAAACACTTTTGCTGTTTTGTTTTTCCCCTCTTCTTTGCCTCTCTTCCTCTTTCCCCCCTGTCACTTTCCCCCCCTCCAATTTATTTTCTAAAGAAGACAATCAAGATGAATGGATCAATGTGACAAAAATCCTGCACCCCCCTTTTTGCAATCTCCCCAGCTTTCTTTCTCAGTCCAGTCCAAAACACACATTCCTATTTTTTTTTTTTCTTGGCAAAAGAGAAAGCTATTTCTCCTCTCAGACTCCCCGTTGCACTTTGCTGGTAAACCTTATGCTCCTCTGCAGCACATAAAGAGTCTTGAAACTTGAGTCTCAGATACTTTTTTTTTTTAATTGCTTGCTTTCTTTCTTTCTCCCTTTTCCACTCTCTCTCTCTCCCCCTCTCTTTTTCTAATTCTTTCTTTTCCTCTTATTATTTTCCCAAAGTTATGCAATCAGCCAGGCTCCCCCTTTTGTGGTCCCCCTCAGTGCAGTTGTGTGCAGCTAATCCAAATGTTGCATCAAAGGTCCCCATCGAATCATCAGGAGCTAAAAGGAGAGAAGCTTTTTGAAGAACATTTGCCTTCCAGAAGCTGTAGCAACAGAGTAGGATTTGGCTTTTGAGTGCTCCAAAGACTCCTGTTTGGGGTTTTTTTTGGAAATAATAATAAAAAAATTGAAAAAAAAAATCTATGAATATTTTATTGGTGGATTGAGTCAAAAAAATCCTCTCTTAATATTGCTAATTTTTCAGCCTAAGGAATTCAGCTCCCCTGGTTTCCTTGGCTTAGTTGTAGCCACAGGTAAGCTTCTGGCTGCTTGCTGGTTTGGAGATCTCTGTTTCTGAGCTGGGACGTTTCTTTTTTTTCTCCTTTTTTTTTTTTTTTTTTTTTTTTTTTTTTTTTTTTTTTTTTT